GTAACGCTTTTAGTTTTGTTTAAGATGCTCAAGTGATCATTGCATAGGTTGAATCTATATATATGATGTGAAATGTTGCATAGCTTTTTACTGTGATTTTACCTTGGATGAATGGTGTTTTTTATTTTTTATTTTTTATTTTTTGTTTGTTTTTATGTGTGATCGTTTTTCATCAGCTCCAAACATGTAACTATCATTATAAGGTGAGAACTTAGGCGTTAGGTACGAGGGATTTTGGTGTAATTACATTTGCAAAGATGACTTTTCCAATTATGACTTAAGATATACTCTTTTAATTTGCTTCGAAACTCATCATTCATGGCTTTGTAGCTTCTACTTTTCTGTCAAGTCATCCCTATATTTTATTTGACATTATTCAAGGAAGATTTTTTTAACTTAATTTATATTTTGCGAGATTTATAGTCATTATTATAAGTATAACATTAGTCTTAGTCATTTTTTATGGGATAATCCTACGTTAAATAATTATTTTATTTAACGTTTAAAAATTATTATGAAATATTCATTACCCGGTTGGGTAATGATCAATTTTTTAAAAATGAATAAAAATTTATTCGAGAAAAATAGTTAAAGCATATCTCTATGAGCTAGTAAAATATAAAGCAAAATAAATATTATGTAATCAAATCACACATGCATATTTTATACAAAATGAACTGTTGAAAATTTGTTTGTACGTTCTCCAACATGCCTTTCAATCCAAACTGCACAAATTCCCACAAATACAATTGAGTTTTACGTGAAATATTAACAAGTATGGATTTAATTAATTCCTTTTTTTTTTAAAAAAAAAAGTTTGAATGGTACTTGCAAGCAAAAAGTGCACATTTGGGGCAAGAAAACTTATCCACAAATGACTGTTGATTCTAAAATAAGGCACATTTCATTGTCTATGTAGCATATTAATATCAGTTATTAATTATTTGTGTGACCACGAGAAGTTATATTTTGGTTGGCAGTTTTCATGACTATATACCATTCTAATTGCCTTAGGTTGGTCACCTTAATTGCATGAGATCAACTTTCTGGTTTTCTATGACTTAGTGTTTTGAATTTTGAATCTCTCTAGTGATAGATCTAATTAATTTTTAAACACACAATTAATCTTAGTAAACAAGTTTGGAATTTCCCTTTAGGGTTGGACATGAGTCCAATAAATAAGGATTTGAAAACTGTTCAAAAAATTGAATTTCAAAACAATGGATCTCGACCTCCGTTGGTCGTGGTGAACAAATCTCCTGCATCTACAAAGTGCTCTGTGACTGTGAACCTAAAGCCTCAGATAGCTCCGCAGGTTGCGGTGAACAAACTTTCGTGGTCGTGAGGTGCTCCGTGGCTGCGAGTTTGAGGCGCAATTAGATCTGCGGGCCACAAAGCTCTCTGTGGGTAGCGGAGCTCCCGCAGGCCGCAGTGAACACAATTCGCCAGCAGCGGCCAGTTGTGCGTCCGTATGAGCTCATCCAGAGGAATCAAGTTTTGTTTTTTTCTACTCTGTCCCTAGCGAACCATCCTATACTTGCACGACCTGTACAACTACTTTCTCCTCGGATTGGTTGAATTTCTAACATTCGGTCAAAGCTCCGAACCTGCACACAACGACAAGAAAGCACAAGAATACGAAAAAGCCAATGACCTCTTGGCCTAATAGTTGAGAGTGAGGTACCCTTGACATGAGGTCAAGGGTTCAAGCCCCCCGGAGCGCAATGGTGGAACAATTAATACTGAGGACTTCAAGCGGCAGTGTGGGAGGCTGAAACTCGATGGGAACCAGCGGCTGGATAGGTGGGACCAGCATCAAGTTGGGGGGGCCAGCATGAAGCAATCACTTCAGTGGGACCCTGCGGCTGGATAGGTGGGGTCAACTTGGAGTTGGGAGGGCCAGCGAGCAATCATTTGGGGATTGACTCCTTGTGCGCGGTAGTTGAGGGTAGGAAGTTGAGAGCTATTGTGTGGTTACCGCGGTTTAACTGGAGGCAGTTTCTGAGGGGCCGGGAACTGTTTCTTCGAGGACTAGTCAGGCGCAAGCTTGGAACCTTGGTATAAAAAAAAATACAGGAAAAATAAAAGAAAACACCAAAAAACTAAAATAAATAGAACACACAACAAACGACTAGACAGACTGAAAGTCCTAAGAGAAGACCTAAAACGAGAAAAAAGAATAACAAATAATGACGAAAATAGCAAAAAAAATAGGACAAACAATTGTATTACAGTTTTTATTAATGTACGGTAAATCCAAAGTTCTCATAACCGGACCATCATCTGTTGAAAAGAAACCAAAACCACCAATATTGAAAATGGAGCAGCCACCAAATGTTGAAAATGGAGCACTTCCCAATATTGAAAATGGAGCAGCACGTTTGCTTTGAAATTTGATGCACTTTTGCATCTATAAATAGAGAGAAATTAGGGCATCAGAAAGATCAACCAAAAAGGAGAGTGAATAAGAAGTAGAAAATTTTAGCTTCTGTGTGTATTAGGGTTGTGAGTTGTGAGTGAGTTTGAGAGTGTTTAGTAAACACGAGTGCATTTCTTTTCTCTAAATAAAATATTTGCAGTAGTTCGGAGACGTATGCATTATTGACCGAACTTTGTTATCAATTTGGTGTGTCCAATTTTTCGCTTTTATTTCACTTTTATAGATCCGACTTCATGGAAAATTTAGCGTATTTTTCCCAACATCATCGACTCGATCAAGTTATTTATTCAATTATTTATTAGTTGGACCAGAATTAATTTATTAATAACTTAATTTTTAAATATATATATATCTATATATTGTAATAAATTTATATAAAATACTAATTAAATATATGAACCATTTAAAATTTTCAAATATTTAAACTAGTTGATAAATAATTTATAAATTTTTATTTTATTTAAATATGAAATTTATTTAAAAAAATCTTATTAATCATATCAGTCCAACTGGCCGGTGTTAACGCGTTTGCTAGCAAATATTTTATTCAAGCGAAACAGGTAGATCGATAAATTAATTCTCGGCCCATCCGGTCAGACTGTTTGGTCCGATCAGTTTGAAAACAAAGAATAAATCATTATTAATATTATTTATATATTTAACTTATAATACAATCGTAATATCATTTTTTTCGTGCCTCGCATGTTAGGTATAACCGTATAATATTAATGAGAAAAACATAGATTGGGACTTTTGCATGCTAAATAAAGAATATGAAATTCAGTACATATTAATTCGTTTATCCATTTTTTTTCATATAGGCCACATTAATAGTCTTTTTATGATTTTTTTTCTTTAATTTAATACTAGTAACGATTTTATTTTTTTATTTTTTTGAAAAAAAAAAATCACGCACCTTTGTTGAAAGGCGTTTTTAACAGTTTTCAAAAGGATAAGCGAAAGCTTTAAAATGCTAACTTAAAAAAAAAATATCAAGTGTGTTTAAAATACGAAAAATCTCATTGGTGAGAATACTGAATACGAGTGGTGGTGGCAACGTAATGTTTGTATACGAAAATTTTTATTCAAAATTTTATTCAACTCAAAATCTAATTCAACTTTTACTCAACTACAATATCAATATAATTAAATTAAATCATCCAATCATTTTTACTCATCACATCTACTTTAATTCTTCATCTATTCACATAATTTTAACTAACCATTACTTCATATCATCTTTCTTATACTTTTACATCAAATCAACTTTAAATTATTTTATTTTAAATATTATTTTAATATACATAAAAAATCCAACTAACAACCATCTTTTCTCAAATTAACTCTAGTTAACCAAAACAATTCACTTTGAGTAAAAATTTTTGTATACAAACATGCTCTAACGTTTTTGAAACAAATGATGATGCATTGTATAATTTTCAGCTAAAATAGCTACTATATGTAATTCTGAGTATTCATGTATACGTATGAAACATTATTTTAAATATCTTTACAAATTTGTTGCCATTATGTTTCTGAAGATATGTGATACTACAATTTATAAACTTATAATATATAATGTATAGACAATTGAAAGTTTCGATCATATTATATATTATATTATACGTGATAATTTTAAAATGACAAATAAAAAAAATAAAAATATTGTTATACAGAAAAACGAATCAAAAGCTTGACATACATGTAATGTTGTGTAGAACTATACATAGAAGATTTTCACAACCTACAATAATTTTGTATGACTTTTTTTTTTCATATTATTGAATTTAAATCTTACTTAATATTTATTACAAATTAAATTACATATTCCTTATTTTGACTTTACACAATCAATAAACCCATAGGCCATGGCTTTTGTGCACATCTATTAGAAATGCTGAGTCAGCACCCTGAAATTCCAGGCTACCTTTTCATTTTTTTCTTTTCTCATTTCTCAGTTCTTCGACGTTTATACTCTCCAAACTCCCCATTTTACTCTCACTGCAAATTCTGACTTCACTGAAATTTTTGCATATTCCTATTCATCTGGTAATCTCCTGTTCAAGTATCTTCAATTCATAATCGTTTTCTTTCCTGATCATTATCTGATTTGATGGATCTTTTATTTTTTTTATTTTTTATTTTTATTTTTTTTGGCTGAAAAAGGATTCCGTATTCACTTTGTTCCGGAGCTTATCCCCGATTATGTCCTAAATGGAGACTTTTGCTTGATTGAATATCGATTATTTGCAATTTTATCCGGTGATTCTCCTTTGATCAGTTCTGATTTTTACTGTTTTGATTGCCAAGTGCAGAATTACTTAACTTGTTAGGGTTTTACTGTTTTGATTTTTACTGTTTTCATTGCCAAAGTATCTAGTTTTGATGTTTGCTTGGTGTGGCCTTACATTTGTGCGCGTGGGCCAATCATTGACTTTGGTTCTCTAGATTTATCGTGCAAATTTGGGTATAATTGAATGTTGGTTCTAATGTTGAATAATGTTTTAGTGTGATGACTTTAAGTTTCTCCGCAGGAATCTTTGTTATGAAATCACATTATTATCTTTTTATTATATTTTTCAAATTGTATTTCGGTTTCCACTGAAATGAAATTATGTGTATTGGGTCCACGGATTAGGGACTAGCATGTTGTTCGGTCATCTCGTAGTAGTAGACAAAAGGTAACTTTGAGACTTCTGATCAGGTGTAGTTTCTCTGCTTGAGAAGATCTTGTAATGTGGCAGATTGTGTTGCTCACTTGTGGAGAAAAGAAATATGTTGTATGCTTCACGGTTTATGTTATAAACAGAAAAAAGGGTAACTATGCTTTGGAGGCCCTTCGTTGTATTCCTTTCATGTAAGTAGTAGAAACAAATTAATTTCTCATGGTCATATAAAATTGTAGTCGGTTCATTAGATTCTCTAAGAAGGGTGACTGGTAAAGAGTTCTGATGTGTTTTTGCACAGTATGGAAGTTTCCCGGAGAGTAACTGAAAGAAAAGAATAAGGATTTTTTTTTTTTTTTTTTTGAATGTTGGGGTATTAAAATAAACCTCTTAATGCATTGAAACTTTTAATAGATTCAGTGCAGGAGTGCTTTTGACTTGTATCATTTCCTGCTAGTATTTGTGATGCTAACACGGAATGAATGTTTCTACAGGAATATGGAGAGTGGTGGAGGGATTGCAGAAGTATTTTTGAGAAACTACAGAGTTGGAAAAACTCTTGGGCATGGTTCATTTGGAAAGGTAAAAATCGCTGAACATATTCGGACAGGGCATAAAGTGGCAATTAAAATCCTTAACCGTCGGAAGATGAAAAGCCCAGACATGGAGGAAAAAGGTAATTTTTTTTCTTCATCGTTCTCTTTCATAACATTTTCTTGAAAGCTAGACTTGTTGCATGGTGACAGAAAATTAGCCTTATGGTTTTACCTTCACTACATTTTTTTTTTCTTTTTTTTTGTGGAGTTTTAAGAATTAAATTCACAGATATCAAAGAGTTAACAATGTTATGCAGTGAGAAGAGAGATCAAAATATGTCGATTATTTGTGCATCCACATGTGATACGCCTCTATGAGGTTATAGAGACACCAGCAGATATATATGTTGTGATGGAGTATGTGCCCCGTGGCGAGCTCTTTGATTATATTGTTGAAAAGGGAAGGTTACAAGAGAATGAAGCACGTCACTTTTTTCAGCAGGTAATTTGTTGTATTTTGGCATCCAAGATGGAATACAATTCAAATAATATTTCTCTCAGCATAATCTGCTGAATTCTGTGTGTTTGGATGAAGATTGTTGCAGGTGTGGAGTATTGCCATAGGAATATGGTTGTCCATCGCGACCTGAAGCCTGAGAATTTGCTTTTAGATCTAAAAGGAAACGTGAAGATAGCCGATTTTGGCTTAAGCAACATTATGCGTGATGGACATTTCCTGAGAACAAGTTGTGGAAGCCCAAACTACGCTGCTCCCGAGGTTGTGAATCAGTACAAGTTGATATATAAGAGTTGTGAATAAAGGTAGTGGCTATAATTAGCTGCTTGTGACGTTCTGTTGGTGCTAAGTTCCATATATTTTGAAATGACTGCAGGTTGTGTCAGGAAAACTTTATGCGGGGCCAGAGATAGATATTTGGAGTTGTGGTGTTATCTTGTATGCTCTTCTTTGTGGTGCTCTTCCATTTGATGATGAGAATATCCCCAACCTCTTCAAAAAAATAAAGGTAGATTTATGATTGTAGTAGAATTTGATGGCTACTGTATTTTGCTTGAAATGGAGAGGATCGTGCTCTATATGCATTTTTGGATTATTTTAGAGTGGACTGTATACTCTTCCAAGTCATTTGTCGCCTGGAGCTCGTGATTTAATTCCAAGAATGCTGGTCGTGGACCCAATGAAGAGGATAACAACTTCTGAAATACGTCAGCACCCTTGGTTCAAAGCTTATCTTCCTCGTTATTTAGCTGTAACTCCACCGAATGCTGTAGAACATTTAAAAAAGGTAACTGACTTCTAACTTCCACATGTTTTATATTGGTATAGGCAGGGTCTTATCTCTGAAGAGAAGAATGGTATTAACATTGAACAAAAAAGTTGTTTTACTTCGTTCTTAGTGTGACATTCATCCGTTTAACACTTTTTGAGAACCTTGTTGTTATTCGGATTGTATAGGATCTTTTATGTCTAGCTAAATGTAAAGGTACTTAACGTATACGGGTGTGTCAGCACGCGTGCTTGTGTGCTTGTGTGGATAAGTTGGCTTGCCACTTGTCCTCGTATCTCCTAGAGGAGCACTACATTTTGGACTGGTTTTTACATGCTTCAGCTACTTACCTATTCATTAGCCACAAAAGTTGTGCTTTCATATCACTATCCCACTTTCCTTATGCAGCTTGATGCGGAAATTATTCAAAAAGTTGTTATGATGGGATTTGATGGGAACCAGCTGATTGAATCACTTCAGAACAGACTACAAAATGATGTATACTTTATTCAGAAACTCCCATTACTACAGATTTCTACTTCCCAGCTGAAATATTAATGTTGCCATCTCTTGTGCTGCAGGCCACTGTTGCATACTATCTTTTATTTGACAACAGATCCCCCGTTTCGTCTGGCTATCTAGGCGCTGAATTTCAGGAGTCCATGGTATGCTTACTTTTCCAAAGGATACTAGAATGTTCTTGATATTTGTTGAACTTAGAAAGTTTTGGTACTCTATAGGCATCCATATTTAACGCTTTCAATTTCGGGCTAGTACCACATTAAAAGAATGAATTTTCCTTTCACTGTCTTGTGGAGGAGAGAGTTCCCCCTCCTCATTCCAGTAATCCAGTGAAATGTTTTAGATCGAGTTGAGAAATTAAAAATTATGTGTGCTTTCTGTATATTTCCGTGCTTTAGTTTAGTCGAAAGGTGATGTCATTGTCATCGCTTATTTACTTCAGTGAGGACAGTACTGTGAAAGGAAAGATATCCATTTAGCCGAAAGTGGTTTTTGATGCTGAGAAAAATTAGACGGGATAAAATTTGGTATAGGGAGTACTATATTTAAGGATTTTGCTTTGGTTTTGTTCTTTTCCATCTCTGTTTCCAGGAGACTTGTTCCACGGGACTTTCTTCGGACGCCAATAAACGCAGCTTTCCGATTGGTGCAAATATGTTACCACAGTTGTCAAGAACAAAGCAATGGGTTGTTGGATTTCAGGTTAATTTTAGAGACTTTTTCCCTTTTAGTACTTTACTAATGGCCAGTTATAACTTTTGAAAGTTGTGTGAACTGGAATCTCTTTTTCCCATGTGACTAAGAAACAAGCGCATGAAGCTGGAGTTGGTCCAGAGAAATGTATTTGTTTAAAAAATCTAATTTCATATTTTCTTATTTTATTCGTTAACCAGTCAGCAGCACGTCCGCGTGATATAATGACCCAGATTCTTGGAGTTTTGCAAAGACTAAATGTGAGGTGGAAAAAAATTGGTCACTATAACATGAAATGTCTGTTCATTCACGGTATTCAGAAGCCAGAGAGCATGATTACCATTAATCACATTATTGACAACCATTATATTGATGGTATAGCTCCTGTAAGGGCAAATATGTCCCAGCAGCAGCATGTGGTGAAGTTCGAAATTCAGGTATACTATTTGTAGCATCTAATCTCTATAAAATTTTCTTCTATATATATCCAAATAGCCAGGAAAACTAGGTGTGCTTTATCTAGAGGGTTCTAGTCCCTTTTGAGTAATCACATTTCAGAAGATGCTACTAATTATATGTGCAAATTCTGGGATAAGAGCATTTAAGTTCAAAAGTTTGTCATAGGTTTCCCCATAATTGCTTCAAGAAAACCAAGGAAGCCTCTGCTTGTTTTATGTTGTTCTTACAAATCTGTACCGACATAGTAAAAGATTATTGTTGTCCTCAATAACTCAATACGACAGAGAAAATTATATCCATACAAATACCCCTTGAGCAGGTGGAACTTTTTTTTTTTTTTTTATAAAAGCTACCTTATTTTAAATTTCAGTGTATGCTCTTGTTGCAGCATTACAGTCTAAAAGTTCATTAATTATTTTTATAATAATAAAGGATTTTGGCAAGTTCTTATTCCTGTTAGGTAAATTTTTTGTGAGTTCGAACACAGTAGTTTACACACACTGAGCCGGGCAATACTTTTGAGAGATATATGTATTCTGTCTAAATATGACACAGTTTGGGGATAATAGAGCATTTGTTTACACTAANGGATTGCTTGTATTATGTTCTGAGTGTGTTGTTGATTTAAGTTACCGTGTGGGCGGATTTACATATTTAGTAGGGCAGAAATTCTTATTTGAGGAGGTCTCAGATCGACATTTTATATATGTTCTTAACAAAAATGCAAGTCCGTGATATAAAATTTCATTATGTTTTTTAAAGTACAAAAATATGTATATTTGCGAGAACAAAAATGCAAGTTCGTGATATAAATGTCATTATAGTACAAAAATATGTATATGACAAATTTGTTAAAAAGTTATATGCGTGATTAGCTATAGTTAAAATTGTTTTTGACTGACCAGATACTTTTTTCACACTACTTCAAAATTTCAACTCAAATTTAATGCAGAGATATCCAGTGCTGCGCCTTTTTCCGTTCTAAGACATCATCCAATAGGCATAAACTATAAACATATTATATGACTTCATCTGTATGAAAATAAACTATTACACATTCATATTTATAATACAAGACTCCCATCTCAGGAGGTCACAGATTCATAAGTAAATTCATTAAAATTTATAAGGTTACAACCAAAGAATTAACGGTTCGCAATTTTGCTATTTTAAATAAACTTTACGATTGTATCATTTAATTGGTCACATAATACAGTCTTCAAAATGGAAAGTTGAATTAACATTATTTTTATTAATTGTGTGTTTATTGCAATCTGCATCCTTGCTCCTCAGCTTTCATATAAAGAAGGGATCGCTGAATCCTCTGCAACAAAACCCCAAAATATATAGATTATACATTATGGATGAAAGAGGACAAAAATTAGCAAAACCACATTTAGGCAAAAAACTCTCACTTGATTAGTAAAACAATTAGTATGAATTGCTATGTGATCATCTAAGCCCTGGTAAAATTAACATTCAAAACATATGCGATAAAGTAGGCTTAAAAAAAAAGTAAAAATAAAAATCATTAACGAATCAACACGAACGCATCCTCCTCCGGAATATGCATGGCTTTCTGTCTTCTATATTTTAAAATTTCCTAGTTATACTATTTATTCTGTACGATAAAGTACAGCCTTATCTAGGCCTGAAATCGGGTCGATTTTGAACCAAATTCATGTGTTCTCTATGCCAGGCAAAATATGAGAAGTCGACAAATGTTATCATGGACCAGTAGCTTTGAAGTCCCCAAACAAATGGGAAGTCACAAATAGATGTGGCAAGAAGCAATACCTCCTTTGTATCTCTTAATCGAAGGAGATCTAATCTTTCTGAAGGTCTACGATTTGATAAAGTTGCAAGCTGCATTAACGAACTAAATGATTAAAGAGGCACAAATTCATTTCACGTCGAGATAGGACTATAATGCACGTTTTAAGGAGTATACCCAGAAACTGAAGCGCTCAGGGTCCCTTGTGGGGGGCTTCATCCCTTCTGCTTTAAAGAGCTCCGCAAGCCTCACTCTATCTGTCAGAAACACTTGCTGAAAATAATGACACAGAGAGAGAGAGAGAGAGAGAGAGAGACTTGGAAGAGAGCATAATTAAAATACCTCCTTGTGCGGCTCCTTGAGCATCCTTTATCCATTGGGAAGCAAATTCGGCTGCCTTTTGTGTCATCTCTAGCAACTGTTAACATTGAAAACAAATCCAAACGAATAAAACATAATATTCCAGTTCTGATAGACCATTATATAATATAGTATTAAAATATGAAGCTTCGAGACAAGAAGTATCTAAGGGATACCGATGTGAAATCTAATTAATCTTTTATCCAATTATAAAAGGAGGCAAAATAAATACCCAATGACCAGATAACCAATTTGGTATAGTGTCCTCCATAGATGCTGGTCTGCGTAGAACTCATTCGCAGAACCCCAAAAGCTGCTTAAAGGGAAATAGTGCCCATCCCACTCTTGTACATAATAACAATCCAATAACTAACCGATGTGGGACAAACATAACTTCAACACCCACCCCATATGTAGTGTGCCAAACCAAATGGGTCAGGTCCAAACCCAACATCACCTTCAAACAAACAAAGATGGGGTACGCTGCTAGATGGGCTTTGGTAGAACTCATCACCAAAAGCTACCTCATAAGGAGAGGACGTAATAAAGCCCAATAACTAAGTGATGTGAGACAAACGTAACTTCGTACAGATGCAACTTTGGGAATCCAATATGAACTAGTTTTGGAACTCAAACAAACTCTAGAAAACCTAAAACACAAGCATGTAGAATCAAATGTAAACTTAGCAGCTTACATCATTTCTCTCGGGTCCCTCTGGTGGATATGTATCTTCAACCCATTCAACCTCTGCAATGCGATAACTTCACAAACAATGGAAAAAAAAAAATGGCAAACAAATAAGTAGAGAAGATTTTGCAATAAATAATGAAAATTGTGAAAGTAAATAGACACCAAAGAAAATTACCCGTCTTGATCCCAATTCCGAAGGATGCGACATCTCCGGCGGCTTTCAACCTGCGACCATTAGTTGCTTGGACTATATGAAAAGGAAAGGTACAAAACAACTAAACAACGCCTTGGAGTCAATATATAAGATCTTTCTATTTCCACGTTTGCTACCTTTGTAAATAGAAAAAAAAACCATGAAAATCAGGAGTAGATAAACTTTTTTTTTTAAAAAAAAAAAACATATTACCTCCAAAAAGAAACGTCCATCTGGAAGTGGCTCGCAACTGCATTAAGAATAAAATGTAATAATCATCTTATGTTCCTGAAGTGCCAATAAAAGCAATCCATGAAATCATGTATGGATTTCATAGAACTCGAAAAATACAATACAATCAAAAGGATTACTCTGTAATTTCCACCTCACATGCATAATCAGCTATTGAACCTGTACATGAGTCAAGAATGGCCTACACATAAACAGAGAAGCCGTAGGGAGGAAATTGATTACATATAAGACCGACACATTTTCACAAATAGAGAAACAAAGAACCAACTCTGGTGCATCAATATACCATTCCCATGCGACGGTTTCCTTCCATTATCCTCCTCACCTGTTTCAAGACATTTTAAACGGAATTTCAAATCAATGGAAGCCAACAGAGTGCGACCAAATGGGTACATGTTCTACAATTCCACAAGATGACTGTGTGAAAAGTTATTGTCTTAAAAAGAAGATAATCTATGTTTTGACCATGTACAATCAATTATTATAGTTGGCTTCATATCAGTGTAAAAGTGACGGTTCTGTGATTTGGGGCTCCCTAGATTATAGTGAAAAAAGACAAACCACTACATGAAATGTGGAGAAACATTTTATCAATTTAGTTCGCAACACACCACACTCAAATGGGGCATGGATTCTTAATGTATGCAGGCAAAGAATGCACACTTTTCAGTTTGGGTGCTGGGTTGAACTTAAGATTAATCAAACACTCAATAAGAACCGCTTCATTTATAAATGTCATAAAAAATAGATGTCAACCAGAACATGTTGTACAACACAGCATGAACTTCAATCAACTCACCATAAGTCTGTAACGAGGCTCAAAAATGTTAAGCTGAAACTTTTGGCATGGAATGATAACATCCATGACAAAAAGAGGCAACATGTCAGCACCAGGGTTTGTTAAACTGTCATTCTCCAACTTCCTTTCTGCGTATTCTTCTGGAAAGTTCTTCTGTATGATGTTGTTCAAAGTGACACTGGGAAACAACAAAACACGTAAGTTACATTTGTCATGAATATACCATCCTTCTTTTAGGAATCTATTTGCTTCATTGGTAGCATGGAAGTCGCATTAACATTTTGTAGGCATTCAACTAGAGTTATCTAGATGCCAACATGCACTTTGAAGAAAGGTTATGTGTGCCATCTGCTTAGTTTAACTGATTCCAATGAATTTATAGCTGGTAGCTGCTAATAGTTGCTCAGCAGTCAGCAGATTGTGAATTAATCATAGTATATATGATAGATCCAAATAGCTGATTAGATTAGAGGTTAATATAATTCTAGCGTAAAAAGCTTCTCGACATATATTGGAAAACGGGAATTAAACAACTAATAATTTAAACCATACAAAACCCACCTGATCGCACATGTTCTGGGACTAATAAGCATAACCGTCCGACACAAAGGGCATCGATTACCTGAATTATTCATGTGAGATAAGAATGTGAGAAATATGAGAATTATGTCTTCTAAAACCAAAGGTAAATGAAGAAAGAAACAAATAAACAAGAATTATACCTCTATCCATGCACTGAAACAGACAGGAGCGGCAAAAAGAATGCCCACAAGGAGTTGTGACGGGCTCATACAGTAACTTCAAACATAGAGTGCAATCATAATCATCAGTACGCTGAGGTTTTACATGGCTTCTCCTCATAAAAATATTGGATGTTGACTTCTCTAAATTCAGAAGGGGGGTACTGCAACAATAAACATTTTCAATAATAACTCAAACACTTAAGATAGTACAAAATTTGGGATGAAACCCACTGTTTAAGATATTCTGCATTACCTTTGAGGATCAATCTGAAGACCCGAACGAATAACATCTCGAGCTAGCTCGTACTTCTCCAGCTGTCAAATAACAGCATTTTTTTTAAGTGTTGTTTACACCAGAAACAAATTAAAGCAGAATGTCAAAGCACAAGAACCAAACACGATGATGCCAAAAGCTAGATCAAGGAGACATAAGAAAATTAGGTGGAACAGAAAGCAACCTTGCTATGCAGTTTAATTAAAAACACATAGGCCTCCATGCAGATAATTAACAAACAATGAAAAGCTAATGATGATGTAAGCATGACTTTGAAGACATTCCACTTCAATGTTTTTAGTTGTTTTCCACTCTGAAAAAATTAATTATCCACGACTTCTGAACAACCAAAAGGCATCTCACCAGGATGAGTGCATTTGCTTTCAGAATGTAGGGAGTTACACATCCACTCTGCAAAGTCATCACCTTTTCCACATCCTTCACAGCAAGCTAAAACAAGAATCAAGCATTAGATTTCCACAGCATATATGGGAGCAAGAAACACACCTGTGGAAGGTCAAGGTATGTATAACATACTGCGGCATGAGTAGTTGGATCCGACCCACTCAGTGGCCTGTATTCCGAAGCAGTTGGTGGTCTGTGTTTAAGGAAATGACTGGCCCTGGAGAAAATACAAGAAATATGACTCAAAATAACCAATTTTCTAGAGCGGAGGTGAAATACACACGACTGAATAGTATTCAACAGAACACCTCATGATTTCCCATTAGATTACCTACCGAATATACGCAGCAGCCCGGTTGCTCAGGATAATGGGATCGAGCTCATTAATGTTGTTAGCTCTCGAGTAAGACTCGATCGCCTGAGGAAACGCAAAACATAACAATAAAACGCAAACAAAAACATTATTGCAACTTGTTAATCGAATACACATGCAGATACATATGATGTATATGAGGACAACATATCTCCTCAACAAGAACAGCATATAAATCAACCTGATCTAACCGGTTTTCACGGAACGCCTTGTTCCCTGTATGCACTAGACTAGAGAGATGGGTATACTTCTCCCAGGACATTGATCCTTCCACACTCTCCTGCACCATAGACCACCACAGATTAAACTCTCTCACACACAAAATCAAACACAACACACACAAATAATCAAGCAACTTCAAATTCAGACCCATGGGTAATCCTGGACATCGTCAATCCCTTCCACACTGAAATCAGCATCGGAAAAACTCGACATCCCGCGGAGACAAGCAGAAAAACTGGACCAAATTCAGATTAATTCCTCCCAACCCAGAAAGAATTCGCTAATTATAGATCCCAGGAGCAAAACTGCACATTCACCCACTAATAGAACGAGGCCTACGCATAATTAAGTACTGACAAGTGACAGCACGAGAAAAATTGAACAACCAGGGTTACTCAAAAACGGCGTTGTCGAGTCGCTGCTTCGTGTTCGACTCTGAGTCCTTCGTTACACACTTGGACAGTACTCGTTTACGTGTTTCTTTCTGCCGCCGCTACTTTCTCTCTACACCAGCAGGCCTGGAATTTCTGCTAATTTTCACGCACAATTACACTCGCTGGCCGAGGAAGAAGGAGAGATTCAGAGCTCTCTCGTCCTCGTGCAGATGGAAAGAATCAGAATCTGCCCCCAATTCCTTTTGAGAGAAGCTTGAGTTGGAAAACAAATAAAAAAAGTGATTTTTTTGTATATATTCTTGCTGGGTGACGTGGTGTCTTGAGAAAGCGACAGATGTCGTGTGGAGAGGTGAGTGGATATCCAGACAAGTGGAGGAGTCTTAGTGGCTGGCTGAATCACGGGTGGCCCACGTGCGGTTTCCGTGCCGTGAGTTACGGATTTACTCACCGTTTCATTTTTTTTTTTTTTTGATCGGTAAAGCTCACCGTTTCACTTTTATTCCCTGGACTAGTTGATAAAAAAACGTGTAAATTCTATACTATTAAAAGAGGTGAAAAGAAAATAAGCTAGTAAATGTTAGATCACATAATTGCAATTTAAGACTTTTGTACAATGTATTTTCCTTGTTAAAATGTTTTTTCTTTCTAACTATCCTATATTTCAGTATAGTGAATATAGTTCTGAAAAACTGGATCGGCTGATTGAATCGAAAATCGTTTCATTAACAGTCGAATTCTCTTGAAAAAAAGACTACAAAAGAAGCATAATTTAACCGATCAAAACCCCGTGTTTGGACCGTTCTTGCTTTTATTTCATTTTTTTAAGAATTAATTTTAGTATTTTAAGTATAATTTTAATATAAATAATTCATATATTTAGGATATGTATTGAATTATTCTATCAAATAGTTCAAGCAATGGATGTTTCAAATTATCAAAATTTTCAATGAAAGTATTTTTATATCTAAAAATAATTAATTAAATTAAAAATATTAATAAAACATGGAGATCTAATTGCTTTAATCATTGACTCTACTATTGGATAGTAGTTTGATCGGTTCGACTATATCCATTTCTCACAACCTCAGTAAACCAATGGATTATTGGTCAATAAGATCATATTATTTGGATATTGTACACAAGTTTTGAAGTAGCGTTATATGAAGTGCATATCACCCTCCACCTACTAAAGTTCCCTAAAGTTGTGAATTGTGATAACCAACAAATAATAATAATAATAATAACAATAATAATAATAAAAACATACTATTATCATAATGATAATAAGAAAGGAGAGCATTGTCAAAGTGTGGCTAATATGTTTGTAGATTAAACATATGCTCTCCACATAATAAGAAGGAGAGCATTGCCAGAAAAACACATTTGGTTGGAATACATTATTACACATCAACATTACAAATTAATATTGCCATTTGCCAACAACTTGCTCCTCATGCCCTTGTGACCTTGTCTTGGCCAAACCTATCTTACCATTGGGAAGCCCTATAAATTTGTTATCCTCATATATTCCTATATTATTATTATTCACTTCATGGCCTAAAACCTCATTAATTCATCTTGATTTGACTTAGCAACCAAATTTACTTGACATTTTTTTTTCAATATGCCTAAAGCTTAAAATGGTAATGACTTAGTCACCTAGATCATTTACTTGATTCTAGTTCTCCTTATGTCACTAATACTCTATAATAAAACTATTTGGGTTTTCCCATTTTTCCTTTACAATCTATAATGTTATTATTATTTTATTTTTTTTACATTTTTATAAAACTTGTGACTGAAATATAATCAGTGACTTTTTTAACATAATAATTAATTAATGTGTAATCATATTTTTTAATTAGTCTATTATATAATAAAAATTCATAAAACTAACAAATTATAATTCACACCAAATGATATATGAAAGTTCACTAAGTATACAAAATTATATTGCAAATTTGTTTCTTAAACTATTTATTGTGCATCTCATTAAGCAATTTATTTGCTAATTGGCTTTAGTTGTATAACAAAACCTCTTAAAATTGCATAAATAATAATAACAACAATAGTAATAATTTTCATACTTTTTAAGATAATTAATAGGTCAGGATCTCTTATATTTATAAAAACTAAGTTATCTTTTTCATTTTATTCAATCAATATAGTGATGAAGTTGAATATTTTTGTAGTGTTGTTTTACTAATGACAAAATTTTAAAATGTACACTATTATCTAACTTATAATTTTAATAGTTTATAGTTGCATATAAATTATAATTTTAAACTTTGACATAATATTAAATACTAGTAATATTGAATAGAATAATCGACAAGCGATGTTGGGCTTAGACCTGAGCGACTGATCCCTGAAGAACCTCTTAAAACCCAATATAAGTTCATAAAAAAGATTATTTATTGGGCCATTTGGGCCCACTTTCGTAAGCCCATCTATGCACCAGATATAATCTGTGGAAATCATTGACCAATCATAGGTGTCGACTCCTCACTCCACTCTACGCCGCTTAATGGTTAACACCGCCGTACCTGAAGAAGGAAAAGTGGCGAATCCGCCGCCGCCTCTACCGTTGCTCCGGGAACTAATGGCCGAGATCCACCGCCTTCCGCTCGACGCCGCGGCTTCCCCGCCTCAAAAGGTCCCCTGGCCGATGGTATCCATCAGAAACCACCAGGACGACGATGACGGCGGCGGCAGCTATCCCCCGATCATCTTCCCGCCCATCAACCACGAAAACCTTCAAATTCACACAGAAAAATCTCCGATTTCTCAGAAACTCCTCCAAATCAGTGCCGATTGCCGGCAGCCATCATTTTCGGATTATGATTCGCACTCAGATTCCGATTCGAGCTCCTCGTCGTCGGAATTCTCGCCATCGTATTCGAGCCCATCCTCGCCTTCACCTTTGCCGGGTTTCTCAGATCTCGCGCCGGCGTCGGCAGCTGTCTCCCCCGGACGGTGGATCGATTCGTGGTCGGAGACGCTACGTGCCAAGGGTAACAGCATCGTGCGGATAATCTGGACCAACTTGCTTGGTTCCTCGCGAGGGACAGTGTTGGCTTTTCGCTCCGCCGCCTTGGCGGCCGCCCTGTTTGCGTTCCTGTACTTCCGGCGGCGGAGGACGGATGGGAACAGTTTACGGCTCGTCGGCATAATCAAGGAGAAAGATGAGGTGAGCTTCATTTTTTTGTCGTTCACCTACTGTTTGCGAAAATGCCTAAGAGCAGAAACTGATTTATGTTTCTGTTAACTTTTCTTACCCTTCAGAAAATCAATCAGCTGTTGGATCAAATATCACGGATGAATCAAATTCTGCTGGCACTTCATAACAAAGTTCCGAATGGCTCCACCCGTTGAGCCAAATCTACACGATGATGTGAGCTGCTATTAGAAATTTAGAATATTGTTGCTTTGCGATGATTGAAACAGAACACCTTCTAAGGTAGTCATAGTAGTAGACTTGTTATACTTGAATTGAAGTATTCATTTGTACAAAAAGTTGTTTGTTCCTACTTAAATCTGGGGAATAGATACTCTTTGTTTGTTATGTGGAGAAAAGATGCTCTTTCTCTAAGGAATTGTTTGGAATTAGATTCTTGAAAGATATGTTGTCATAAAGTGTGTTGGTACTATTGATAACAAAACCCTTTTGATACAAAATGATACATGGTGGTGCATGAAGTTGGAGAAAACAAAACCATTTTTTTTTTTTTTTATATTGAGGTTAGGCACAAGCCTGACCCTCCCAACTCCAAGTTGGCCTCACTTATCCAGCAACATCTTCTCAACGAAGTAATAAATAATGAATTGAAGTTGATATGATGTGTGAGCAACATGTTCTCAACGAAGTAATAAACAATGAATTGAAGTTGATATGATGTGTGATGATGGTTGATTGATATTATTTAATTATATTAAGAGCGTCTCCAGCGCAGCGCCAGATTTGACTTCTTGCGCTGGAGTTGTGTGAAAATCTCCTCCACTGCTGCGTTAGACTTCTGCGCCAGAAAGGAGTTGGGAACAGTGTTGCGCCACATCTGGCGCAACACTGTAGCTCAACTCTACTATTTTTTTTTTTTTTTTTTTTTATAATGTGTATTAGTGAATATATTTTTTATGCTAAATAATTGTGTAATGTATTTTTTATGCTAAATAATGTTGTGCTTTTTATTTATTGATGTATTATAATTTTATTTTGCAATTTTTTAATATTAAAATGATACTATATGAATAAAAATTTAACACACTCAAACAAGTTTATTTCATTAAAATTAAGTTTACAACACACATAAAATCATAGAACATAAATAAAAACAACATGATTAAAAATGACTTAACACACAAATAAACACAACATGATTAAAGATGACATATATGGTCTAAACCATATATGGTCTAGTGTGTAAATTTGCACTAATTCATATATGGTCTAAACCATATATGGTCTAGTGTGTAAATTTGCACTAATTCATATATTTTCAAAAGTAATAGTTTTGATTCAATCGGTACATAGATGTATATGTATCTTCTTTAAGAAATTCAATTTATTACAATTATTTTTTAAATGTGAATATATGCTCTAAACCATATATGGTCTAGTGTGTAAATTTGCACTAATTCATATATGGTCTAAACTATATATGGTCTAGTGTGTAAATTTGCACTAATTATTTACTATTTGGGTAATAAACATTTATATAATATTACATATTCATATATATAGCAAATTATTCAAAATAAAAATAAATAAAATATATTTTTATTATTTGAGTAATTATCGTTTTATATAAGATTAAATATACATATACCAATTTATTTGAAATAAAAAATGAATAAAAAAATAATATATTTAATGTAGAGTAAAATGTAGAGATAAGGACTGGAGATGAATGTTTAACTCTACTCTAGAGTAGAGTAAAGTCCGCGCTAGAGTAGAGATAAGGGCTGGAGATGGCCTAATAATATTGAGAAAGATTGAGATGAATTAAATTTGATTTATATTTTGATTTGAAAGAATAAATCTAGTCAAAAGTGACCAAATTTCTTGCAACCAATAAGGGCCTATAGGCTCCGGATACTCTCTTTCGGATCGGGTTTTTAAACTATAGGGGTAGAAGTATCTGAAATAGAGTTGCAAGCCGCGAAGAGTCGAGGTTTATTGACAGGTTTTTCGGAATGAATTAAGCACGGTGGCCCACATAGTCGACTCATAACGAAATATTAAATTAAACACACACAAAGACATGTATAATCCCTTGGACCAACTCAGATAAAAGAATGTGTAATCGAGGGAATTTGTATTCAAACATGTTATGTCATTAGTTGAATAAGCAAGGGCTTATTGATTGGGGGAATTTATATATAAAAAACAAAAAAAGAACAAGTGGACAGAAAAAAAAAGAGTGGAAAAAAAATAAAAAACTCGTATTCAGTGAATACGCTTTCTTCACAAATTTAATTGAAAAACGCATTTTCAAAAATACGTTTTCAAAAAAACCTATTGATAGTGATACTACTACATCATCATGTACGCATATTGGTGCATGCAACATTAAACCTTGATCGAAGCTTCATCTTCTACAGATTGAGAGTTTGATCCTTTATGGGCATATGTTGTTACACCAATTTTCATGAATCATGCAGACTGCAGTGGTGCCAAAATAGGTAGCATTAACCAATATCTATCAACAGTTTCACATTCTATTTGAAGTATCATGCTGGAATAGCTACACATTACTCAGTCTACACCCACAAGGTGGCATTAAATTGTAGAAATATCTGTGGCGATATATATTATAAATAGTTAGCCTTGCAAAAGGAAATATGAGGACAACATTATAAGCAAATCATGAAATATGATGCAAAAGAATATCTACAAAAAAAAAAAAGAAAAAAAAAATGTTAAAAAATATCTCACTCTGCAGTCAACATAGAAGTAAAACAGCAGAAATTCCCAAATGGAACTTCTTAGCCAAGACAAAATCAATGAAAATACAGTATTTAAAGAATTAGAAACCTCTGTCAACTATAAAAAACATCTCTTTTACACAAAACATTTCACAATCTTAAATAGTACATTTTGGTCCCATTCATTCTACACTCTCCCAGTGCAGGCCTCTGGAGAATCTCGTGACCATCTTTGCTTAAAGTTCAAACTATATTCCAAAATGAATCAAAGATTAAAGTTAATCCACTTTAAAAGACCAGAAAAAGAGAGAGAGAGAGAGAGAGAGAGAGAGAGCGAGAAGGTTCACACATTCTTTTTCCATTTTCCCTGGTTTTTCACGGAACATTATACAAGAACACTTTCAACCAGGAGTTTGTATAACTATGAACCGAATATCTTCGATCCAGCCTTTCCGAACGGAAGCCTTAAACTGCAGAAATTAACACATGATATGAAGTTAGTATGCAAATTATGCCAGCTTAACTATACAAATGAACGTAAATTACTAAGAACTTAACGACACACAACAGCCACAGCAACAGCCCACTTAAAGAACATTACTAATTTAACTTAAAAGATCATCAGTTTCTTTGTACACTACATGAAATGTTTGGTTTATATAAATACTCGACATACTTTAGGTCCCAAAAGTCGAAACAGCAAACCTGGGAAACAGATTGTATGAAGGTTCAAAATGAAGACATACATGGAAACAAAAGAAAGTGTTGTTTCGTCTGGGAATGAATAAATACTTGAAACAAAAAGTAGTAGTTAATGAGTAAATACCATTTGCATCTAACATGCACTAATAATAGGCACACTTAAAGTAGAAAATGAAAACGGAAGTGTACAAGCTCTAAGTAGTCTTATCTGTAACTGGTTTACATGGAAAATGTAGTCAACTAGGGAACACAAAAAGCATGGAAACAATTTGTAAATAGAAAATAGGACAAATTATTATTTTTTTTCTTCCATAATCTAAATCTGACATGAACATGGACTTTCCAACTTTTTATTGTTTGATTAACCGTTGTTCTCTTTGTCCCTAGGCGTGTTATAGCTAGGAGGATCAGTTCTTAACCTCATGTTGAAACTGCGTAGACATATTGAGGCAATCATAAAAGGAATGCACTTAAGCTACCAATTCCCAATTTTTTCACACGTGTCTTTAAACACTACGACAGCAAAACTTTTCTCTTTGATAAACTAACGACTATTGCAAGCATTTACCACTGAGGGAAAAAATAAAAAATCAGCAGGCCATGGTATGTTAAAATAAGTTACACAGAAATCATATAACCCAGTGATTGTGATTTAAATTACATAAGTTGATTTATGTTTGTTGCCATTGCCAAAAACACCACCTCCCTATTTGTCTTAAATGCTAAATACATAACCAAATATGGTATTTAACAAAAAGACTGAACTACCAATCAAACAATAATCCAAATAATAACTTACTAGCATAGGCTTGTTCATACGTGTAAAATCCAACTAGCTAGCTCTTAGATCCATTAATTTGGTGCCGAATATCAAGCTTGTCCACATTCACCAAAGGCATATCAGTCTCATTCCTAATCCTCTTTATATTAGGGCTCACCAAACCCCTATGCCTAAATCCATACAAGTTCAAAACTTGATTATCCGCAAAGTTGAAAGCCCTCTCCATACTCTTCAAACACCTCTCAACCGGATAATCTCCATAACTCCCACACGGCTTGCAACCGACAAAATGGGTCACAAACGGCCACCTGTCGTCACCCAAGCCCGGATGGTACTTTCCCATCATGTCCTCATAATGGTCAACAAAACCCTCCCAATACCCGTGCAGATAAAACGTGTTCTCGATAAAAACCTTGTTCATCCACCTCTCTTTTTGAGAAAGCAGCACGTATATCAAGGCAGATTGATCGTCTGCCTCGAACGCAGGCCGGCCCTTCAGATGAGCTGTCAAGATCTTACCCGCTTCATCGCGGATCGGGCCCTTGGGCCCCATTGGAGCCCAAACGTCCAGCAAATCCAAAGACCACTGGCAGTTGCGGATCAAGAAGCTGCCAGTGTTCAAAGCAATCCATGACTTCTGATCGAAGAGCAAATTGGGATATCCATGGATGACCAGATTGTAGTCCTTATACCTCTCAGATGGTATCTCAAACACCATATCAGTAATCAAGGCATCACTGTCCATCCACCATATCCACTCGACCTCAGGGTGAGATAGCATCAGGCGGCGTATCAAGGGAAGCTTGGCCCAGTCACCGGCCATCTCCTTATCCATATGGGCCGTGTTGTAAACAATCTCAATCCCATGGATCCTGCAGTAATCGATCTTGTTCTTCACGGCCTTCAGCAAATAGTGATCCCCAATCGCGTTGTCGCACGGGCCGGGCGGCGAGCTCGTCACCAGCATGATTCTGGGTTTGCCGTTGACGTAATTTGGGAATTGGGGGTTTTTCTCGAGCCATACCTTGCGATCGTCGTCCCACGAGCTGATCTTCGGGCCAAGGCTGAAGGTGGCGGCGTTAGGGACGAGGAGGTCGTCGGGTGGGGCGTACGGGTCGGCCGAGTCCTTGTCGGATCGGATCTCGTCGAGGACCCGGTTCGTCTCTTCGATGAGGTGCTGGGTCTCGGCCTCGGCTTCGGAGGAGGAGACGCTGCCGAGCCCGATGGTGCCGCGGAGGACGAGGATGGTGACGAAGCCGCAGAGGATGGTGATCTTGATGCTGTTGAAGGTCTTCTGGATCTGCCGCCCGCGGGGGAGGATGGAGGCGGCGCGGCCGCTCGCAGCGGCGGCGGTTGGGGAGGGGCCGGAGCTCCGCTTCTGAGCGGAGGCCGAGCTTTCCGAGCCCATCGGCCGCTGAAAACGGGTCTTGCGAGAAAGCTAGAAAAAGGGTTTCAGGCTATCCGTTCAGTGTTCGTTTCCAGCTGGGTAAAGTCACCATTAATGGACTCAGCACGGTTTCACTGTATTTATTTTCAGAGAATAATTGTTCAAGTGTGGGCAAGAGGAAGAAGGTGAGAGCAACACGCACCGACTGCCATTTTTCTTCAATTTTAGCTGTTAGGTCTTTGTATTTTTGTGGAATTGTTTAATGGAAGTGTGAGTTGGGAAAAAAAAAATAATAATAAATGGGAAGGTGAAAGAGAGAAGACAGCAACACCATTAACGCGGCTGTTTCGCTTTCTGCTTATTTGACTTCAAAATTTTGGTGCATAGAGGATGATTGGATATAAAAATATTTGGTTTTGTTTAGATTTTTTTTGTTTGGTTTGGTTAATTTTAAAAAAGTTGGTATAGTTAGTTATTAGTGGATATATTAGAATAATATTTAAAATAAAATGATTAAAGTTGATTTGATGTAAAGTAGGAGAGAGAAGATTTGAAGTAATGGTTACTTAAAATTATGTGAGTGGATGAATCTATACTTATATTAAAAGGGGTACTATTTACCAAATTAAGTAGCCAGAAAAGTTAACAGCATTTATTGCATTACTATTTCCGTATTATATTATACAAAAGGATATTCTATTTACTACATTTATTATCCAGAAAAGTCAACTGCATTAAATGTCATTACTATTTTGGTATTATAATATTTTATTTATTTAACTGATTTATTTATTTGTTTTATTTTAAAAAGGTAAGTATAATAAAAAAAAATAATAATAAAAAAAATTAAATACCAAATAAAAATGTACACTTTGACTTATTTGATTATATTTGGTATTTGATTATACCAAATATATTCATATTTAGTATATACATTAAATACTTACTAAAGTATTTATTTGTTTTATTTGTCAAAGTTAAGTATAGATTTGTTTATATTATCAAATCATAAAAAATATTAATCCATATTGTAAAAAAAAAATCATATAAATTTATAACAATTCTACTACATTATTTAACAATATTTCTTTTTTATTATATAATAAAATAATAATTAAATATTATATGGTGAACAACAATAAGTAAAACTGTTACTTTCTCTTATATCAAGGGATAAATATATATGCTAAAATTAAATTTCTATTAGAATAAATATTTTAGTGAGATAATATATTAATTATTTTACAAACTAGCCCTAACATGCTCATATTTAATGTTTTAAAAGATGTAGAAAAAAAACTTATAATAACTCTATTGTTTTTTAGACTTAAACGTTGATTAACATCATAGATTGAGAGTTTATATTTATTAAAATTCCTAATTGTAATAAAAAAATTAATTTTTGCTATATTTTAGAATATCTTTAAATTCATTATAAAAAAAAAGAAAAAAAAAACTACAATGAAAAAAACAAGTCAGCTATATATCGATTTGTTGTACTCCTCAAATCACATTCACAATTTGGCTACAAGGAAATGAAACTCATTGATTAAAATATTATTTTGTCAGTAGTCTTAATGTACAAGAGACTTTAAGACTCCACTTGAATATTATAAAATTTTTATTGAACATCGTATAATTTATTGCATATTATAAACTTTTATTGAATATTGCATCTTATAATATAATATTCTTCAAATAAATATATCTCGCGAGTCACGTACTTTATTCACGTACTAGTAGTGAATTAAGGTAAGATAATATGTAAGAATGATTTATTGATATTACTTTATTATATTGATATTATTGAAAACAGTTGGATTAAGTTAAAGTTGAGTTAAAAAAAGTGGTTGAGTTAAAAATGTTTGAATTTTTTTTAGAAATTTTGTATCCAAGAGTTTTTTCTCTTTACTTACATTTGAAATTAAATAATAGAAAAATTTTATATCTATTTGTTAAGCAAGAGTTTTTCATTGAATTAATGAAATATTTTTTCACGATTAAAATAAAAAACAATTATTATGATATATTTTATGAAAAAATAGTATTCATTCATTCACATATTAATATTTACTAATTTTATTAATTAATACTTTCTTATTTTTATACCATATTAATGTTAGTTATTATATATTTTTTTTTATCTCATATTCATTTTCAATTTAAAACTTATCTCAATTTTTAATACTCCCTCATATTTTTAATAAGTGTCAAGTTGCACAATAATTAAGAATATCTTTTTTGCCAATAATAACCTCATTAATGAAGTGTTAACAGCCGACCGCTCTACCACTGAGCTACTGAGGAATCCGCCCGAGGAGGGGCTTGCGTCAGTGATGAATGTTTTGAGAAAATATGAAAAGTTAATTATTAGCTAAATGAGAGTAATAATGAAAAAATATGTACAAAAAATCCAAAACGTCAGTTATTTGGTTAATAGTTGATAGAGCTAAAATGACATTTAAAAAAAATAGGAAGTAGTATGATTTTTAACATTTTCATCCTACTTAGAGATAAAAAAATTCAAGCGATTGCATTTCCATCTTTTTTAAGTTTTATTTTATTTTTTCTAATTTTGTTTACCTTTTTAATCTCCTTTTTACTTTTAAAAAATTATTTTAGTTATTCAGAATCGACCAAAATATTGATGTTCAAGCAACTTCTATTATTTTTCCCTTTTCCTTTTGGTTATAACTTTGATCTTTTGAAAATTTTACAATTTTTGACAGCGACTTAGATTAAAGTTCGTCAACACTTCTGAAATACAGACATTTGGTTCAATTTTGGCGTAAAACTTACGGTAGTTGAACTATAGTAGACTAGAGCATGTGGGCTTGAAGACAAAAAACCAGCACTTCATAGCATATATCCATAAACAATGTTAGAAGATCTAAACGATAACCAACAAGATAAATACATTAATTAGTATTTTTAAATGAGAACAGCTCCTCACATTCTCAGATCATCACATAACAAACAAGGAAGGAAGAACCCTCATAAATCAGAATCTTCAGCAGATCATCAGAAGACTTGTTTCTCTAACAATTAAATTTACTCCAATTATGAAAAATTAAAAATCCAGATTTATAAATACAAAACACACCTCTGTTACAAAAAAAATAAAAAAAAAAATAAAATAAAGAAGACGAGCACGAAAGTAAACAGATACCTTTAATATATTAAAAATGCATCACGCTTCATCCTCGGGTAGAAAAAAAAATCCCCATTTAGAATCGATCGTCCTCGTCATAATCCTCCTCTTCATCCTCGTCATCCGAGCCCGGAAGCCCGATCAGGTCCACACAAACCCCATTCGTCTTCCTCACGAACTGCCCCTTCAGGCGGGGCCTACGGTCGGCTAGCTTTTTCCGATTCACATACCTAATCTTTTTATCAAAACACCTCTCTTTCCTTTTCTGCCTGAACTTCATCAGCGCAGCCTCCCTCCGGTCGACTTTCGCCGCTTTCCCACCTCCTTCGCGGGACGGTGGCCATTGATGCTGGTGAGGTGGGCCCGGCTGCAAACATATGCCAAACGGGTAATAAGGGTAGGATGGGAAGATGTGAATCCGTAAGTTCATTCACCTCTCTGCCTGTCAATTACTTCTGGCACATCAGGGCAATAATCTGGAGTCCCGCACGCAGTCTGTATTGGAGCAGCATTTGTGGTTGCATTATTAGCCTGAAAAGTACACATCTTCATTTTTTTTTTTTTTTTTTTTTTTTTTTTTTTTTTNGGTATAGATATTGCTAACAGCAGGTATTGTGAGATTGCATATCATGGATTCAAATGTATGCTTATCTTCCACACGAAACAAAACAAAAAATCATTCATATACATAATTATGAATGTAATGTATGATAATATATGAAAAAGAAATATAAAATGATTTATGATAACTAATTGTAGAAGAAGAACAGAGCACGTAATATGTGTATCATTTACACAGAGCACGTAATATGTGTATCATCTTAAATTCAACATCAAATATAAACATGAGGTGATACCTAACAGAGCATCAAGCAACAAGTCAACAATTACTACTAAAACAAACATTATCGACAACAATTGACAACAATCCAATCGAACGATAACCAGAATCGTACCTTGATAAGAACATTTACACAGAAGTGTAAAAACCTCCTCCAACCTCTTCTCGTCATTATCGCACAGCAAAATCCTAAACTTTACTCCGATCAATGAACCCATCCCCGCTTTTCTCCATCTCACTCCTATCCATCACAACCACCTTCCAATTAATCCCCCACAATCACAAATTAGAGTTCCAATCAACCACCCACACAGAGAAAATCAATACCAGAAATAATCCATTAGGCACCCCAGGTAATCCAAAATCAGTAGAAGAATGTGGTGTATACACCACACCTTCACCCACACAAACTCCATACCTTAAACTCCAAAAACCCACTTAAAAAACCCATTTTTACAGACATCAAGCTCAACAAAAAACGAAAAACCCACCAACCAGATTCCCACAAAACCCTTTCAGCTCCAAGTGATTCAATCAGAAAGCTATAAAACACGAAGAACAGTCAACCATTCACATGCGAGTTGGGTAGGGACAGCACCAAATCCAACTGCTCCTCCGGTTCCAGCGCATGTTAGCACAGACCGGTCCGGCCCGCACCAATCAGTCCGTAGGCGTAGACACACATTATAGGCTGCTGTATTGGGGTGCAAGCAAGCACTTTTACCGTAAAAAGGGAGTAAAAAGCTCCGAACACTTGGAAAGCAACGCAGAGATATTTCTTATAATGCTAGTGGGGAGCTAACGTGCGCCTGTACAGGTGTCGGGAGGCGGATCGGACGGTGGTGATTGGAGCGGCAATGGGTGGAGTTAGGGGGGCGCGCACGTTAGATAAAGAGGATGACGTGGAGGACTAGAAAAGGGAAAAAGGGGGTTGAGGCTGGGTGGAGGATAGTTCGCTTGAATGCTATACATGAAGATTTTAAATGCTATACATGAAGATTTTAAGCTATATTTTAAGACTTTTTAAAATTGGGTTATAAAATGATTTAAAGCTATACATGAAGATTTTTTTTTGAAAAAATGATTTAAAATGGGTTAATAAAATGATTTTAAGACTTTTTAAAATGAATCCAAATTTTTTTATTTTTTTTTTGAAAAATGCTATACATGAAGATTTAAAGCTGCTCTTCATTTCTTTTTTCTCAGATTTCTTTTTTCTTTTCTTTTTTCTCAGATTTTACTTCTTTTCATTTGCTTATATGACGTGGAGGGGGTGTGATGTGTAAATATGACGTGGCACAAGCTATTTAATTTGATTGCTACATCAATTTTCTGATCGGCCATGTCAGCGGACCTTTGCCGGAAGTTAAATTTGAGACAAAATTGCAAAAATTTAAAAAGGTTTGCATTTTGGTACAAATTAAAAAAGTTGAGTTTTATGTGCAATTTAACAAAAGGTTAGGGTTTTTTTGGCAATTAACCCTTTAAAATTTGAGACTTTTTAGGAGTTCAGGTTTTGAAGGAATTATGTGAAATTTTAAGTCTGGATTTTAAGTGATATTTTAAAACTATTTAAAATTTGAGACTTTTTAGAGCATCTCCAATGCTCAATGTTGTAGTATCAAATTACATTCCACACCAATACATTTATTAATATTACAACTTTTCATCCTCCAATGTACAATGTGATCACAAATATTGTGATGATGTGAACATAATTAATGTCTACAATGTAGAGAAGAATGTGGTTTATCCACATTCTCATCCACTCTCTAGTTAGCCAATAAAGAGAAGAGAGAGAATTACTATTACCATTTTTAAGCTATTTAATTATTTGATTAATTTTATTAATTCATATTAAAATTTTAATATTCGGTGAGTAAATAATATTGTAATTTGACTACATTGTGCATTGAAGATGATTTTTTAATTTAATAGTTGTGAACTCAACATTTATCTTACATGGTTCACAATCTATTTATTTTTTGACATTTGTCAAAATTTATCCTACTACAATATTAGAGCATTGGAGATGCTCTTAGGATTTTCAGATTTTGAAGGAATTATATGAAATCTTAAGTCTGGATGTAGAATTTGAAGTAAAATTTTGTATAAGGATTTTTTTTTGGAATCCCACAAAATCTTACAAAGTTTTAATAAATCCTAGAGTCAAATAATTTAAATACCTCAGAAGTTTATAAAACTTTTTAAAACCTCAATTGAATATCTCAAGATTTTTAAAAGTCTTAAAAAGTCTTAACAAATCTAAATTGAATACACCAGAATTTCCAAAGTCTTAAAAAGTTCTTAGAAATCCCAATTGAATACACTCCATTTAAATTTTTTATGGTTGACATTTCTATTTCTACTTAATCAATTTTGATACCCAACGTTTTGTCGGTTAATTATTTTTAGTAAACTTTTCCATTAAAAACTAACGACAACTGTCAATCTGCCATCCGACGATTTGCTACCATAAGAAAAACAGCAAAAATTTCATAAAATATTAAAAATAATGCGTGGAAAAAGACATTTTAAATTGAAGGCTCATATGAAATTGGGGTTTAATGCACCAAACTCCCCTGTATTATACTAAATCTGCGCGTTTCTCCCCTCTAATTTAAAAATTGCGTCATACCCCCTTCTATTAAGGTTTTGCATGCGCGAAGCACCCTAAATCGTCTAAGATGACGGCAGTAGTGTGCACGCGCGTGTTGTGCTGCTTTTTCTTTATTTTTTCACCTAAAAGTGGCGGAAATTACTGTTTTATCCATTTGAAAAATAAAAATAAAAAATCCAAAAACTCTTGAGTTCATCTTCGACCTCAAAAATCAAAAAAATGAACAACCTCAAATCCAAAAAATGAACAGAATCCAAAATTTTGCAATACTTGAAATTTCTTACACACAGCAAATTTAGGGGAAAAAAAATTACAATCTAGTTCATTAATTCACTTCATCAACATATGATATTAACAAATAATTTTATGACACTCCAATTTGTGTAAGGACTATAATCTGTTTAGGTAAATTCAACCAATCTAAATTCAAAATGACAAACTGTAAAATGAAAAGAAAGAAAAAAAAGAAAAAAGAAAAAGTGAAGGCCTCAAGAATTGAACAAGCTGATGTAGAAAACAAAAGTTTGTACAAAGAGACTCAAGTTACAAGCTAAAATTACAAATATAAAATATAATTCCACTGGAAAAAATAAATAAATAAATAAGCAAAAAAAAAAAAAAATGCATTACATTCTATTGTGTTCTTGTCAAAATTAGGTCACATATGAATTCGTAAGATCAGTGAACTGCATTGAATCAGAATATCACATTTGGAAGTCATCCATCCAAGAACTCCATTGTCGACCGAAACATAGAAGTGTTCGGAAAAAAAAAAAATGAAAGAAACAACAAAATTGTACCAACAAGCAATTACAGCCCTTTGACTCTCTTCTCCCTACACGCCGGCGGAGGCGACTATCAGATCGGGGTCGATTTCACCGAGCCCGCCAATGGCAGAGGAGACCCGAGCTTCCCACCCGCAAGAGCATTGGAGACCAGCAAAGGCGCTCCCTGCCCGTACAGATCAAGGGAGAACTCTTCCTTAAGGAGGCGGCGACGAACAGAGGCGGTGGTGGAGGTCTCAAGGTCGGAGTTCCAAACTATTGTTGGCGGCTGAGATCTGATTTTTCTTTTTTCTTTTTTGTAAGATTAGGGTTTTCACCCTTTTGACGAGAGAGAACAATTGAAGAGACTGTGCTGGTGCTCCAACTCAAAATGATAGGGACATAACAGGAAGTTTGACAAATATCTAACAGTGTTAGCACCTAAACATAAGTTGGGGAGCGTCAGCAGACGAACACTAAATACAGAGGGATTTGACGCAATTTTTAAATTAGAAGGGGAAAACGCGCATATTTAATATAATACAAGGAGATTTGGTGCAATAAACTCTATGAAATTGAAACATCAAATTAAATTGATTGAAGGTACTTGTCACCCATTAAAAAGTAGAACGAAATGAGAGCTTATTTAGGATTGCAAACGAGTCGAGCTGCTCGCGAGCTAGCTCAAGTAGTTCAATCGAGCAAACGAGTCAAGCCCCAAGCATCGTTTCAAGAGGCTCGTAAGCTCGACGAGCCGTTCGATTTTATTTACATAAATACTCCATATACTTAACTATCAATATTAGAACACTAAGATTAGAATTGTCTATTTAGATTAAAAATAACACCTTTATATTTGAAAAAAATAAAATAAAATTTACTTGTTAAAATTTCAATCCGAACTTGAGCCATGTTGAGCATTGAGTCGACCTCGAGCATTCTTATTTTTTTCATGAGTCGAGTCGAACATGATTTTACATGGCTTGTTGAACTCAAGCTCGAGCAGTAAAGACAAAAGTTCAATTTATGTTCGACAAGGTTCGTGCTTGACTTGACTCGTTTCCAACCCTCCCCACCATTCCCATCAAACCAAACAGGTTAGGGGCACCAAACTTGCCGAACCCAAAAGATTGCTACAGAATTTAACATAGTAACATTGCCATCAGTCAAATACAGCACCAAATTTAAAAAGTTGAATCAGACAGGACATTTTCTTGCAACTGATAAGTACAAGGTTTCCCTAAAATGTGTCGCCATCTAAAATGTACTAGTCTACACTTTACAGTCACTTATCTGCCACAGCTTGGATTAATAAGTAGTCACTAAATCTACCAATCATTCAGCTCCAATGAACCGTAAGTTTCTTTGCCACCAATCGGATGCCTGCATTCTGCTGGTAATCATAGACGTCCACGGAAAAACACGCATCCACGGTTTTTCCGGGAGCAAATAAGGATTCGAGCTCGATAACGTCGAATCTACTAAACACAAGCCTCTGCGTGGTTGAATTATCCTTTTGGTATATTTCTGTCGTGCATCGGGTGATTTCACCATCTCCGGCAGTTGGGAGGCTATGGCCATATGAAATGAAACGTGTTAAAAGTGAGTCCTCAATCACAGAAGCTAAATTGAAGGTCGTTTTATAAAATATACATCAAGGTCGTTTAGGAAGAAAGAGTGTTCGTAGGGGCAGTTCCTTTAATTTTCAGAAACTTTGCATCTGGAAATAAAGGGTTTCAAGACCTTGAGCTCATAATTCGAACAAATTTTCAGTGGTGGTGTTGTGATATGTGTTCATTCAGTATCCTTAGCTCAAAATCCTAATTGTTCCATCCAAAACGAATACTTAGATCTTTATCAAACTATCATTCTTTTATAGGCCCACATCAAGGTGCAAGGAATTTTAGTAAGAAAGAAATCACTATTATGAAATATAAAGAAAAAAGAATTGTAACAAGGAGAAACATACTGTAATCGAACAGTGGGGGAGTTGAAGAAGCCATTCTTCCTCGTAACCACAGGCCACCAATCAGAAGACGTGCCGGAATCAATTAACAGCTTTTGGGCAAGATTATCAACTGCATCGAGAACCGTGCACAGGCTCGGAAATGCATCAACCACAAAACTCAAACGTGGCCGGCCAGCATGATCGACAAACTTTGAACTGATCCCAAATCGTACCTTCAGCTGTGCACAGCCGAGCTGTAACGGGACATTTTGGTGCAATATCTGTATCTTTTGAGTCCCTCGGTAAAAGGGTACGAGTGTTACAGATATTAAAGGTATTGATACATCATCAGGCTCCAAGAAGTCACTCTGATGATGCCCACAATTTACCGCATTTGAAGATTCTTTAGCTGCCGAGTCGTTTTTCTCTACCTCCATATGGTCTTCGGCAAGAGTGTCGTCATTTATTCGAACGAGAAAGTCCGTCAGATTGAACGGGCCCGCGCTAGGAGGATTTGATTCGATCGGTGGCGAATTTATCGACAGTATAGGATGATTTGCCTCGTCAATTCTTGACGATGATGATGGTGGTGTGCTCTCGTTTGGCTCTCGAGAAGTTTTTTCGTTACTTTGGCGTTTTGGGATGGCATTTCGAGAAACCCAATTGTTCTCCGTGAATATATCTGGAAGGCTGGATTCCTGCATGAAGAATTAATATAACATGTATTTAATTGAACCTTTTAGATTGGCTTACATGAACAGTTGAGATACATGGTGATGCTTAAGCTAAATGAGGTTTTCAAATGTTCGAACACTACAAAACTACACTTTTATAACGATTACTTAGAGGGGAACATATTAATAGTTAATTAGTGCACAAGAGAACAGTTGCACAATACTTGACAGGGGGAATCTTATAGGGAAGCTAAAAGGTTGTGAATTTACCAAAAATAGAACAGTTGCACAATACTTGATAACTTCAAGATTCATGCGAACATCGTCCAAACTCCTGAAAAGGGTAAAAAAATAGTCAAAGTTAAATTATATAAGCTGGAAGACAGGAAAGTGTGAAAATCTCTTGTAACTTTAATTTCCATAAACAAACCATTCTGGTAGTGGAACACACACTTTTATGAATTATAAAAAATGCTTTAGTGGTATTCCCTTTGCAATCAAAGGGCACCAAACAACAAAGGCTATGAAAAAGATAGGAACCATGCAGAAGCCGGTTGTTTTGTAGACTGTGAATTTAATTTATATAGTGCGAAACTGGGGAAGAAAAAACTTGTGCAGATCAATATACTCAGAAACAGCTATAGATGAAATAAAAGCTGCAAGCTTCAAATATATAATTATAAATATTTCATAAGGAAAATTAGGGTAGCCCAATTTGTGAGGTCTACCACAAACATAGTCATAAGAAGTAAAGAAACTACAATCACTTCATCAAACTATCCATAGATGCAAATAAATATTCCTCGTAAGCATTGTTAGAATTTTAACCATGTCCCTGACAGATAATACGATGCAAATAAGCAAAATAACACTGTAACATGTAAACTAGACGGGATATAAATAGAATTGGAAGAGTTTTAAAGTAGAGGCAAATTACCTATGTGTTTGCTGGCCAAGCCCAAAATATGTGGCAAGAGATGCCATCTGCAGAAGAATCTCAGAATATTATTATTATTAATGCTTACAGAACGATCTTTCGAAATATAATTTGTAGAAGGCACAATCAACCATGCACTTTTACAGCAAAAAGATATACGCAATAG